AATCTGACATTTTGACATTCATTCGCGTTTAAAACGCGCGCGCACTACACGACGCGCCCGCCCCACAGCAAGGAACAACCGGCCGTAGTAGGCGTGTAATTAACGCGCCCCGTTGACGGCCCCCCACCCCCTCCGCGCCACGCCCCGAACGACCATTCACAGATTTCTAATTAATATTTGGAGAGACGCGCGCCGCACACCTCCCCGTTAAGCACTCCAATATTATTCACCACCCCCCACCTTTCGCTCGCGCTCACCGCGCCGCCCTAGAGTCTACCTCCTGCCTCCCTCGCTTGCTGTCTCTTGCTCTCACTCTCTCCCTCGCTCTTACTCAGGCTTGCTCTCTCCTCGCCCTCTCTCGCTCTGTCCCTACCACTCTCCCTCTCGCTCTCTCGCTCCTCTCTCGCTCTCTCCGCTGCGAGTTGAACCGCACTCAAAATGACGAATGGTCGAATGGCCCCCGCGCGCCCGCGTCGATACACCATACATGCCATCAATATGTTTCCGCAAATAGTTTACCAATGGATGGAGAGAGAGAAGGGGGCGGGGCGGAGCGCGCACTCCACTATGAGAGGCACTTCCACAGTAGCACACTACACCGCTACAAACTCTTCCGTTTTTTTTGTTTTTTTTTTAAATCTTATTGGTTTATCCGCCCACCTGGACGATCCCGTCCGGTAGGCAACCCAACTGCCCGCGCTGTCGGTTGGGTTGCCTACCGGCGCGGCGGCCGGGCAGGCACGGAAAGAGGCAGTTCCGGGGGGAAGTAGTTCGCACGCTTGTCGAAATGTTTTCAGCGTAGTCCCCCGCTTGCACTGGTTTCGACCTCGGCCCCGCCCCCGCCGCCGCCCCCGACGAGCAGCACACTTTGTTATCCAGTTCGCCAATGCCGTGGTTCCGTAACGGCAACGGGAGCCGGGGAGCGCCGGGGCAGGCCACGGCGACGGTGCAGCCGGGCGGGCCATTTCTGGACGAATAACCGCTGCTGCTGCTGGGGGCCGAGGGGGAAAGGAACGGGGAGTGGAGAGGAGGGTACGCCTTTAGCTGCGAAACGACCAGGAGAGCGCAAAATTGTCGGGGCATTGTGAAAATAAACAAAACTTGGGGCTTGGGCGGTAACAGCAGCCGCGGCCTCCTGGATGGCGGGGCCGGCGAGCAGAGGCAGCACGCCCCCCAGACCTCGGCCCGCGCCGCCCCCGCGCCGCCCCCGCACTGCCGCCCAGATTGGAGTAAAGAAGGGCATAAAGGAGGACGAACAATGCTGAGCCACAAGCCCAGAGAGAGAGGCAGGCAGGCAAATTTAGAGAATAGGATCCCGAGGCCCGGGCAGGCCGGGCCTGGCCTGCGACAAACATTCCCATAGAGACCATTAAATGGCGTTGTCATCTGATGTAAAACTACCCCATAACCCCTGAATGCCAGTAAAATAGGGTTAAAAATACATTCCACTAACAAACAAAAAAATCTCAAACACAAGAAAACAAAAGTATATTGTGGCTCGACAAATTTATTGAGTAACTAGTATGTAACCGTTGTTGAGGGAAAACGAATTGAGGTGCCTGGCGAATGAAAGGTCAGGGGTCATAAGAAAACCCTCCCTCTCTTCTATATGAGCTGACCGAGAACTCCAGCGGGACTCCGGCAGTAGTACAGGTCTGGAGCCGGAGGGGCGCACGGTACGGTCACGGGGCGGTTGGTCCCAGCCAACAATCGCAAACAGCCATAGCCGCCCACAATTGCGGAAGTCGACAGTATGAGCAGCATTTAGAGAGCGTGGAGAGGGACCGGGGAGCGCCGCAAGCAAGAGCAGTTTGGGACCGCGGCAGAAATGTATTTCCGCAGCTCATCTGTCCGAGCCCGAGCTTGACTGCTACTGCTGTTGCTGTTGCTGTAGCTGGTACGGGCCAAGAAGTACGGGCATAGCGCGGAGTTGAGAGGGTCCTGCGGCTGCGGTGCGGTGAGGGCAAGCCGGAGGGCAAAGGAGGGATGGGGGTGGATATGGTGGAGAATAAAGCGGCACAGCTTACGCGTCAGCTAGCTTGTATTAACTCATCTAACTCACCCGAGTCATCTTCACAATGAGACCTAGATAAAATTAGCCACTCAACCGTTTCCAAACATCAAAATATGCCCAATTTCGGCTAAAGCAGTGAGCCTCAAGCAATCCATGCGAACGGATTATCGCGACCTTGGACCTCAGTCTTTCATGAAGTTATGATTGTTTAGTTGAGACCTAAGGTCTCTTACCTTTAGCTGAGGACCCGAAGGAGGACGGCGTCGGTGGCGTCGGTAGACTTGGCCAACTCGGAGGACGAGCCGACGAGCCGGTTGGTGTTGGTAAGTTTCCGCCAGACACGTTTCTCCACTGCAAACGCAAAAGAGCCGGTCGACTCATTGCACATGTGTTCGTCGTACCAGAAAATGCAATCACGGCGAAAAGTTACTTACGGGGCGATTAAAAGTCTGTACACATTCAACGCCACACACCCTGTCTCCTAACCCCACATCACCTATCACCGCGCCACTTTTCCGTCATTCCATTGTCACTGATCAGACAGACACAACAAACTACAAACACAAAAACAAAAACAACACCAGCAACTAGCAGACTCTCCGATCTGACGTCACATGTCTTAGTTTCAGTTTCTACGAAGTGGTGGAGTACGTCGACTAAATCAGATCTAGACGATTTAAATCTGTCGCGACCTTAAGGAACGCTTAAATTATATTTTTGATGTTTTTTTATAATTTGTTTCTGCAGAAAATTACAATATTGCTTTACAAAAAAAAAAACTTGAGCCTGGGAAATTTGTGCCACAGCGTAGGTAACAGTGCAGGCTCAGAGCGGGAACTGCTCCAACCAAAACAAACTTTAAAAATGGCGATCCATCTGAACTGTAGTGTGAAAACTGTTGAGAATTTTCCCGATAATCAACCTGTTATACATTACATGCCATGTGAAATCAAGTCAAATGGTCCAGCAGGGGTGTCGACATACTTTAAACCCGTTGATAATGAGAAAGATTCAAAATGTAGGAACTGAATCTTAAAGGGTTGTAAACATAACCCCTCATTCCCTTTAAATTGTTTTTATTTCTTCAGTTTCACTTTACTGTATACTTCTATTTTTTCTTTCCATTCAACAGTTAAAAAGGCATCCTTCCGGGGAAGACCACTTCAGGGAGAAGATATATCCCTTCCCTCTGGTTACAGAGGTCTTGTCGTCCAAGAAACCAAGCAGCCACTTGTTGAAAACGTAGAACGTACTATGCATGTCTCTCACATATTTGACCGCCTTACCTATTGGAATTGGGACAAAGTTCCTTCTGCTAATGACCCATTCATCAGCGCCTTGAGTTGGATTGACATATCTGAAGCTGTAAGTCTTACTTGCTGTCTTGCATGTTCCATGCGCAAGTGGTCTGACATACAATTATTTAAATTTTGTCTTGTTTGGTTTCAGCTCCATTCACCCATTGAAAGTATTAGTGATTAATGAAGACTAATTTTGGTGTTTGACCTACCTCTTGTTCATCAAGTACTTTTGATGTTTTGTTTTACATTCTAAGTCAAATGGTGCATTTTTTCTGCATAGCTGATTCTTTTTGTTTCTCATCTAAATTGTCATGGATAATTTCCCTATGATTAAATACTTACGTTTCACCAGTTTCTTATGAATTTCCATCTGGATCTTTCCAGTACAGAATTATATAAAAATCAAGAAGGGCAATTTGATAGGGTTGCCTGCCAAATCCTGGATTTGAGTAAAGATAAACAATGTAGCGCCATACAATTTATTTTTCAAAATGTCTTCTTGAAAGGAAAGCTAGCAGGAACAACAGCTTAGTTCAAAAAATAAAAAGAAGCATTATAACTTCTATATGATACAAAGAGTATATTTATGGTGAGATTTAGGACTAGAATCATTAAGTGCTAACGATTTAAACTGTACAGTGAACACCTAAGGGGTAGCATTGGAAGCAGTTTATAAAATCTCAGATACAGAATATTCATAAGAAAGTAGACACCCTAATGATAGAGCAAAGAACAGTCATAGGTCACAACAAAGAGGGACAAAAGGACAGCAGTGATAAGGAATGAGTGAACCTCAGATCTAAGAGAGAGATCAAAAAAATACCAATAGCTTCATCCAGTGTAGCATTGAAGTAAACAGAGCTGTTCTTATGCTACCTGTATGTGAAAATATTGGATGAAGTGTACATACAAGCAATTTAAAAGACTTCTGGAGGGGAATGACTGAAAAACTTCCGCACATTTAGAGCATGAAAAGATTTCCACAGAAGAGGAATAGATATGCCCAACAAGCATTAATATCCTAAATAAAATTTAAACCTCTAAATACTGCAGTGGGATTGAGATACTTACCCAAGAGCAACATAAAGCCATAATGAGGTCAAAGTAAGATGAAAGATATACACTGGATTGGGAAACTTTGAAAACAGTAAACCCAACGCCATGGTCCTTAAAGTTCAGACAACCTCACAATGCCTTTAGATACATCCCTCTCGGGTTGAAAGCACCTTTTCTTGATACACAATTACTTAAGCTTACATATTAGAATTATTATAAATTCTAACACAAAGGAGCATATTTACTTAATGGACACATTGTATCTTAATGCCACAATAAATACACGATGTTTAGGAAAATAATTTGGCATCAGATTACGAAAGTCTAGATACCTTTGCAGAAAAGAAAAATTAAACAAATTAATTCTACAAGCCTGATGATTATCACAAACCGGCCTCACAATAAGTTCAACACATTTTCTTCATCAGGGACACGCAATTCACATCACAACTTATCAAAATTATGATACAATCGATTAATAATATTTTCACAGCAAAATTTCAGCCTTCTTTAAGTTAATGGTATTTTCATGTGGACCAGAGTCAAACTATGCAATGTAGAGTTTACAGCACACAATGAGATCATAGCGGAAGAGTGGGAGACCATTACTATGACAAAACTGGGAAGACTTTAAAACTTTTTGGAGTAAATACACAGAATTTTGAAAGATAACATCTTAGTAGGGGAAAGTTTTAATTCACTGCTCTACATCTTATTACATAGGTGAAGAGCAATTCTTGAAAACAAAACCATAATTAACAGTGGAAAGCACTACTTGTGCACTCTTTCAGCCACGACTCTACATGCACTTCTCTTTCTCAGATATAAAAATCTTTACTCACAATACATCACACCCTGAATTACAGTAATAAATAGTTAATATCATAGGGACTACAAAAATCCTTTACATCTTTGTGACAGACTTATAAAGCTACATATAAATAGTAGTCATTTGTTCTACAGAATAGGACACTGTTCCATCACAAAATGGCAACTCATAAAATAGGGCTCCATAAATAAGCACCCAATATATATTAACATTCAGGAACTAAAGTATGAAGGATTCATTTTGATTATTTTGCTTTGATCAATTGGTATACAGCTTTGTGAGAAAAACATAATGCACCAGATAGGCCCACGTGGTATTTTACACAATACCAGTGAGCAGCAAAAGCATCAATCAATCAAAAGACACAACCAAGCATTCTTTCTAAAACCTTCATGGCAATCATTTAAAATTTAAAAAAACAAAACATTTCTGAACACAGTAAATGAGACAATACTGTTTCAAAGAAAAAAAACTCTTTGGATCACTTTGATTGAGCAGCTGTAAGTATAAGAGAATTACATAACTTTTGCACACCCTTCTTTTATCCTTTTTTTTTTTTTTTTTTGCATTCTTTTCTTTAAACAAAATTGTTTTATAAAAAAAAAGCTAACAGTTACTTTTCTAGAAAGGCTACAAAAGTTCTCCATTTAAAAACTTCCTCGTGGTAGTGTTACACACAACAGTTCAAAAATTAAAATAAATTGAAAACTGACTAGTGGAAATAGATTACTTCCATTCTAATATCAATATGCCATTTGTCATTCCAGACAAACTCGACCAAATAAAATCACACCTGGACTTTACAAACAGACGGCACAACTGGGTTGAGACAGTATAGTTACACTATTGCCACAATTACACTTCCCTACTAAGCAGTGGTGATATATCTTTTTTCCCTTTATAAATTTATGATAGTGTGTTCTACGTACTGCTTGAGATGTCTGTACTGTTCATTTGAACACTCTGTGCGGCAGCCCTCATTGCCTTGTGGTGCTCTTGTTGTTGTTTGATGATTGTGCTTAACCTGTGCAGCAGAAACTGCTTGTCTCTGCCTTCCAGCACCAACTGATTCTTGAGAACAATCACCATGTGTTTGTTGGCTGCAGACACTGCATAAAAGTAGTATAAACATAATACAAGAGTCACAAAAGCAGGTACAGCGAATCCTGCTGTACTAAAGAAGAACACAATATGTTGGAGCCAAAGTGGGGAAGACAAGAAAGTTCTCACAATTACTGACCAAACTGTTGTTTGGCCTCGGAATGGTCCACATGACCGGGAAGGTTGCCATTCTGCAATTGTATAGCCTAAAGGAAGAATCATGACTACAAATGAAAGCAATAGCACAGCCATAAACAAAGAATTTGATCTTGAGGCTCGATATGGAATTGTAGAGGGCTTGCTGTTAACAAGACAGGCAAACTTCTTTATGTAAAACATGAAAAAGAAGATCACAAAGGCGAGAAGAGGCAGAACAGGAGCAAAGAAACTACCCAACCAACATAAGGTCTGGATGTAGACAACATCAAGAACATGTTTGGGCAAGTCAAATTGTTGTTCACACAGATAGGTAATGACTGAATTACGGGAGTACTTTGCAAGTTGGCCTCTTGGAAGATTAACAATAAATGTTACAGCAATATGTGACAAAAAGTCCACAAGCATCAGCTTATAAAATTGTTGCCCAACATGTGTTTCCCAACATGCAGGAGCCTTGCAATTCTCATCTGGTCCCTGAAAATATTAAAACAGATAATAAATTATTAGCATTATAAATCAAAAAGCTTTTCTTGCTCATACATAGAAGAATGGTAGGATTAAAAGAAAGCAATTTGTTACAAATGCACACACATTTGTGGAGGCTTACCTCACTTTTGCAGGGATCACATTTGAAGAGACGATAGAATGACAACAGTACCACACCAAGAGAAGAAAGACGTAGCAAAACTGTACGCATCAGTGTCATCCTAATTACAAGCACAGGAGAATACCTCTCTAGGCTGACCATCATCCCCAGAACTATGGGGATGATTAAATTCAGTCCAACAACGCAAAGTGATGGCAGAAACTCAAATAAGAGCCTGAGAAGTTCGTTTTTGGCAATGAAATCTTCGTTTTGTGTTCGTGCCTATAAAATATAAATAAAAATGAATTTAAGGCTATCAGTATTAAACCATGCGGTTAACTACTTCACCGTTCTTAGTACACACCGAAAAGTCAAAAACAGCATATATTAGGTAAAGTGCTCCGGTAATTAGCACAATCACAGCAACATTTACAAGTATTCGGACAGAAAACAATTTGAATCTCTCCTCTTTTGATCGTGTTATTCGCTCCTCTTCAATTCTCTCAGATTCCAAGCTTGACTGTTTAGAGATATAAACCAGCATTAGCATTAGTAATACTTCAGCATCAAAACATTCATGTAAATAACTGCCGTAAAGGATAGTGTTTTCCTACCTTTATTTCATAGTAAATTGCTTTATGTTTAATATTTGCAGACTTCTCGTTATTAATACAAAAATCCCAGCTGGAAAATATTATATTGCAATACTGATAGAACTGTCCTTCACCTTCAACAAGACGTTCTTTAAATCCCTTGGCAGCAGACTTAACAATTGCAGCAAGACTTATCTGCATAGAAAAATAACAATACAAAACAGTTAGTTTCTCTCATGAATACCCTGATTACCTCTAAGCATACAAGTTCTATTACGGTATTAGTACTAAATAGACACTAACCAACATAAAAGTTAATGCAACACTGATGTATGCCAAAGGCATGTCATAATAAAGACCAGCTGAAGAGTTGAGATCAAGCACCACATTGGGGTAAATTCCATAAAATGCTTGTGTATGTTCCACAATGCCTCTTCCTTGAACTATTTGTATTACAATATTTTCAGCTTCAGATGATGAGTTTGCATACTTAGCAGAACAGCATTCAATGGATCCTGAACCTGACACATTGCTACTCAAGTTGCATTCTTGTGGCTGCTCAGCAGGCTTCTAAGCATACAACAACAAAAAAATTTTAATGTATAGAGTTAACACTTAGAATCAAGTGTAATATGAGCAGATGACATTTTAAGGTAGTAAAGTCCAAGTAACACACTTACAAGCAATAGAGCAGGTAAAACAATAAATACAACCATTAGGAGGCAAATTCCAAGATTAAGAAGCATTAGCCATTTAATAAAAAGGAAATATGCCACCACTCCTGTTCCAAAATCTCCTTCAACCTCCTTCATACTGAGTCTCCAAATATCCATCTTAGCCAATGTTTCAGACCAAGATTTTTTCAACTGCTGCCACATCTTACGCCGCTGCCATTTGAGTTGTTCTATTCCCTGAAGTCTTAACTTTGTTTGGCTCTGTACAGTAAAAAAAACAATTAGCAGACAAATTTGATTAAAACTCCAGTCAGCGTGGTTATTAGCCTTCTATATAGAGATGATCTAGCTGACCTGCAGTTTAGCTTTGTGTTCTTTCTTTTGAGCCATGCTGACAGGCATGGCTTTGATTTGCATTATTTCCTCCCATGTCCGCTCTTCATTTGATAAATTTTCTGAAGGACAAAAATAGACCAATTCTTGAAAAATCAAATAATGCTGAACATAAGTAAGAATGTAAAAAGAATTAACATACCTGAAAGGTCAGGCAGCAATGCACCGAGATCAGTGGCTGCCTGTGACACAGGAGCCATCGAGGGTCTCCTAATAGTATTGTGACATTGGGATCTTGAAGCAGTTCTTCTCCTTAGAGTGCCTTTCGTATCATATTTTTTGGAATATGTAGCTAACATAAATAAAAAGTCAAGTTGAGTAGCTTCGAACATTTGAACACAATAAAAAGAATAAGAGAGAATTTTAAATAGCTTGCAATTGAGTATACTCATCACTCACCGGTCCGATTCTGTTTGCTCGGCAACAGAGTTGCAATGTTAGAAGGATTTTGATGCATAGAGTCAAGATCGGCCTCGCATCCAGGGTAGCTCTCCTGGTAAAATTCTCCACCAGCTTCTTCCCATCCTTGAGCTCTGGGTCGCTTAACTTTGCGTTCACCTCCAGACATCCTGGCACCTACAACATCAACATCACACATTGAGAGACCTGATTTGCCAAGTCTGTTGCTTAAAGAAGACATCCATTATGATTCATAAAACGTCTCCGTGGTCTATTTAAGGGGAGCACAGAGACAAATTGGATTGGAACAGAGGTACAAAATAATATTGAAGTTACTGGAGTGTTCAAAGGCAGACTATGACAGCAACCAGACAATAACAAACCCCATTCAAAACATAATGGGACTCAAGAGGGAACACTGAAAACTAACCAAGAACGTTAATGGTTCACAACTGTTTCACGTACCAACAATCTCTCACTTTTTGACAATAGTATTCATTCAAGATGGCCAGGAAAAGACCAATTATTTTTCAATAGTGTAGTCTGCTGGGTTAAGGGCGGCTACACAAAACATTGTCGTGTTTCGGAGCCGACATACTGACTAGATTACAACCACACGTCTCGCTTGACGCACCACACTTTCTTTATCTCAAGAACATAACACTATGCGCCAGGGAGACACATTATCATTTTTATCGCAGAACTATTTACGATAAACGCCAGCTCGCCTTTTTTCCACCCGTCAGAGCATTTTCCATTTTCTGTGTCTGCTCTGAAAAGCGCCTTCTCGTAAAACGCGTTAGGTTTATTTATCGATTGTCTTCAACTCGCCAACAGAAGACAGTTTTAGCGGGATTTTTAAAATATTAGAAAAGTGCGGTAGTTAAATCAGTTAAATGTTTGAACAAGATTTAGGTAAATTTCGCAATCTCACAAAAAAAAAGAAAAAGTGAAATTAGAAAAGTGGTTTCCAGTTCTGCGGGGATGTTCATAAATTTAATAGGAGCACGAAGATCAGGCGACTGAAACTGAAACTAAAGCAATACGGCCTACAAATACATTGAATTCGGGTCTAAAAGCTGTGCTTACGCATGATCAACGTGAACGTGTGAATATCAACTACTAGTTTATTTAGTAAACGATTCCCATATAAATGATATCAAACAAAAGATGTGTCAGTTTCAAGCGCGGCTTCAAGCTGCGCGCTAGAGTGCCGGATGTCCTTAAGCTCGATCAGGAGCACCAGTACTCCAAAGTGAAATTCCACTGCACAAATCTTTCAGCTGACGCCGTGTGCACATCTGTCGCTTCCCGTACTGAAAAGGCTCTCTCAAAATCGATGCAACTTTCTGCTGACACCATGACGGTGATTTTCAGCGTGGTCGAGGCCCGGTTAGTGCCTCCGGGGGGCGAGTGGCCCGCGGGGAGTGCGCGGCCGTGGTCGTGGCCAGACTGTCGGGGCGGTGACGTCGCCGTGGTGCGCCGCGGGGCCGCTAGATGGCGCCGCGGGCCGCCGCCGCCGCGCTGCACGCGAAGGACGGGCGGCGATTGGTTGATAAGTAGGCCGTGACGTCACGGCGACGGAAAGTTACTTATATGGGTGCGGGCGGCCGCGGGCGGGCATTCTAGTGGAGTGTGTGGCACCGTGCGGACGTAGGCCAGGCCGAGCGGATCGGAGCCGAGGAGCGACAGAGAGAGCGAGCGAGAGCGAGGCCTGGCACCCTGCGCCCAGCGGCTGCGCCCCGCCCGGACGGATTACTGACGGATAACAACACAGTGTGAACAGTGCGGTGTCGTGTGCAGTGACAATGGCAACAGAGGCCCAGAAGCTCATCAGCATTTCGCTGGCGAAAATCGCGCAGTCGCGCACCCAGCGGGGTGGCGTGAGTTTGCACAAGAACCTGCTGGTGGCGACCGTGCTGCAGAAGGCGCGGTACATCTTCATGGAGGAGGCGTACCACATGGTGCAGGCGTCCGAGTGCTACGCGGCGCAGGACACGACGGGCCTGATGGCGGCCAGCGCCCAGGCCGACCAGGAGGCCGAGGACGCGTCGTCGTCGTCGACGTCGTGCTCGCGGTGCGTGTCGGGCGAGGACAAGGAGAACCAGTGCCCGTCGTGCCAGCCCCCGCCCACCTACCTGGACCTGGACAAGTCCACCGCCGTTCTGAGGACGGACGCGTCCTGCTCGTCGCCCAAGTGTCTGAAGCGGCGGCGCGTCGCCGAGTGGGAGACCGAGGAGGCCGTGCAGTCCATCCTGCCCAAGAAGTCCAAGTGCTGCGACGGGGAAGCCCCAGCGGCAGCCACCCCGGAGGCGTGCGCAGCCGCCGCCAAGGGCCTGGCGGAGGCGGCGGCGGCCGCGGCGGAGGACGACGACGACGACGAGGATGAGGACGACGACGAGGACCAGCCCGCGCGCTCGGCCATGGAGATCGACCGCATCACCAGTCTCGTGTCCATCTTCAGCTTCGGTGGCCTGGCCGGCCCGCTGGCCTGCGGCGTCGGCGGCGGAGTCGGGGGCGGCGGCGGCGGCGGCTCCTCCCCGGACCTGGCGGACCTCTCGGACCTGTCGGACCTCAAGCTGACCAGATCCGTCTCCACGCCCGACCTGTGCTCGGCGCAAGCCAAGGAGGGCGTTGACTCGTTACAGCAAAGACCATTTATCGCCATGACGGTGTAATGAAATGAGGGGGGAATTCCCTGGGCCGGCCTTTCCGGGACGGCCATTCACACCAAGGGGAATGCCTTGTGATCCCTCGCAGTCGCGACGACTGTTGTCAATTAATTTGTACTTTTATACGGACTTGAGCTCTGCTCGGGGGTGCGTGGGTGATTGTGATAAGGGTGACGATTTCAGTGATTAGGAAGGAAGGGACGTGATCAGAGCATTGGCCTTGGTGTCGAATTGGGCTCGTTTTTTTCCATGGAAAGTGCGATGTTGTGCTGTGACTTGTTAATTTTGTTATTTTTCTCTGTTGGGCGTTTTTATCAAAAATTTAAGAGGGTTAATCCCGAAAATTGTTTTTTTTTAAATAATTATTATTTTTACTGTGACGTCCTTTTCTTAACAGCCTTAGAACTAAGGATCCACAAATCTCGTTGTTTGGCCGAATGTTCGAAATTTTGACCCGTTTTAACTGCTCTGTGGCTCCTGTGGCCTGTAAATACTCTTTACAGTGTACATCGATTAACAAATCAACTTTTTGGGACCGCCCAATTTCAGCTTTGGGAGAGGGAGGGGGGAAGTTGTCCCAATGTTTTGGTTGGGGGAAGTCCACTGAGCCTCTGCCCTGTCTTAAAATCGGCCCCTTTTGTATTTGTTCGATATTGGGGGGTCCTGTGCGTTGAGTATTGATCTAGTCGTGGATTTACTTACTGTGTTTAAGGCTTTTTTCAATTACGTATTCACGTGAACCGCTCCACGTTCTTACCGAGAGCATTACGTACAGAAATCTCTAAAGGATATCCAGAAAACCCTGAAAAAAATATTCCTAAAAATTCCCGAGTGTCACATTCCGTTTCAAGGGTTTGACTTGCTTTCGCGAAGGCATATCGATTCAGTAGTAAGCAGCTGTGAAGTGAAATGTCTTAAGATGTATTGTTGGGAGTCTTTTCAACACATGCCTACCACTTCAAATCAAGTGTGGATTTATGGTCTTTAAATTAAATTTTATCAAATGAATATAGTGAAATTGTTTACATACTCGTTGAACTTTGACCTAATGAAGCTGCAGGTGACTTGAAGTTCGGTGCGTGTTGAGAGTGCCCCCACTATGTGTGGACCAGTGTTGCTCTCTAGTTATTTGCATATGAGGGGAGACTACATCCATACAAAATGCCCAATATTTTTCAACTGATTGTTGACTAAGTTCAATTAATTCAAGAGGCTATGTATTCCTTAGTATAAATTTTTGGTGCAAACAGTTCAAAATTATCAAAAAATTGCCCAATTTAAATGAATATTATATTGCAATTTCTGCAGTAATGAACTGTATATATGTGATGACGAGCTCTGTTTTAGGAGTTCAAATAATGTAGATAGTAACATATGTGAAGATTAAATAATGTTTTATTGCAACCCAATCTTTTCCTTTCCACCAAACCACAACACACAAGAAAGAAAGAAAGAAAGAAAGAAAGAAAGAAAAAGTACAATTCTTAAGAAAAAAACAGTTACTTACAAAGGAATTACTTAAAACTTGCAAATTACATGCAAAAAAAACGAAAGAAGGAAAAACATGTAAATTAATACGGATTGACCTGCCTAATGGACCATATATCATACATTTATTCACGCGTGGAAAACAATTAAATTACACATTGCCAACGGAAGGTTGAAAGCAGACCCACAGGCTTAACAAAGACTCAATAAAAACATTACGGCTCTACAAACTCGTCAGTACGCATGTTGCATCAGGTGAGATACAAGTTGAAGATAAACAATCCCCCCAAACTGGAGACGAGACAGATCGCATTCCAAACATTGCAGAGCTGAGCAGATTGTAAAAAATATCATCTCAAGGTGATAGCGGTTCCTCGAGTCCTCTCCGTGTTCTGGACTGGCCCCTCGTGCATTTGGCACAATGGGCGATGCGTATGGTCGCGTCAAGCAGCATAGCCTTTCCGCTCCTGGAGGCAGGTACCGTAGCAGGTCCTATGTTGTACCTCCGCGCGCCAGTCGGGGCAGGCGCTGGGCTGGAGCTGCTGGACTGCAGTGGCGGCGGTGGCCGGCCTGCACAGGTTCGCCAGGTCGTTGAACCAACCGCGCCCGGGCTGGCTGGCTGGCTGGTTGCACGGCGCCCCGTCAAACGGAACAGCAGCGGCCCCCGCGGCCCCCGCGCCACAGGCGCTGGCCCGCACTAAAGCTCGGTCCCGTTGCGAAGCCTCACCGCGCCTCTGCGGGAGAGGTTAGGCCGCGCGGACCGTGCACCGGCCGTGTCACCTGCACACTCGGACAATGATGATTGATCATTACAATCACATACCATTCACGGAACACAAGTCACCCCAGCAGACCCGCGCTTTAGACATGCGGCCGGCGGGAACCCATATTGCGTACGGCGCATCGTATCTGGCGGGCTCTAGCGTGACGTCACGGCGCATGCGCGGGCGAGCGCAGCGTCCCGGAAGGCTAGCCTTTTTGCCTTTTGCTTGCGTACGAACGTGGCCAATGTTGTGGCGAGCTAAACTGTTTAGTGAAGAACTCGCGCTCGTGTACGCCCCGGCGTGCAGAGAGCGGGGGCTCGCTGCAGGGTGGGATGTTTTGCCCCAAAAGGATCGTCACAATTCAAGTTTTGTTTGGAATGTGGGATATTTCCGCAATTTAGGAATTTCAAGGCACCCCCAGCCACTGGACTACTCAGTTTATAGATTATTTGACAGAAAACAAGCTGCGCACAGTCCACCTCTACCTCAGACCACCCGCTGAGGACCCCCTTCAACTTCAACAAGGGTTATAACGACTGCTTGCACACCGTAAAATGGGAACTCAGCTTAGGAGTCATCCAGAGAGTTACGCCCGTCATGCACCGTTCCGACCCTGCCAGGTGTAGCCTCCGCAAGGACGCATGGCGCCTGGTAGGTAGGCACCACCTTGCCTGCAATGCAGCCGCGTACTGCTCGGTGGCCTACGTTGTGGTTCGCAGGCGCCGAGCCACTGCAATTATTTGCCGAGTGAATCTGGGGGAAACGGCCTGTAATGTATATTGTAAATCCCCAAAACACACAAAAAACAACAAAAACAAAGAAGCAACAAGATGCATGGTCCCCACTAAGAGACATAATGGAAAAGAACAATGCAAGCACGGCGCGATACAGTTATCAGTTTGTCCGGTCGCTTATGATGAGCGCTAATCATACATTATCCCTCCAGTCAAAGTCATTCATGCGGGGTCATGAAAGTGTTGAATGAGCATTCAATGGTAAAATGATGACTTAGTGGAGAGAAACATAGGGGGCATTCAATGATGAAAGGCGAGCATTTAGTGGTAAAATATAATACAAGCACTCAATGGTGAAATTCTTTAGCCGCGGAGCTAATCGCAGGAGCTCTGCTTGCAGTTTGGGGCCGCCCCCGCGCCTCCTCTCCCTCCCTTCCCCAACCAACCACGTGCTCGTGCTCACCCCTCGCTGCTCGCCTTCACTCCCCTCTCTCGTTTTGGTGACAACGCGCGCAGGAGGGTGAGGAGGTGAGGGGAGGGTGGAGGAGGTAGAGGGTGCATGTGGAGGAGGAGGAGGAGGAAACGCACCAAGCAGCAGTATGGCCTGCCGCGCACCCGCTTGATGACTCATGCCACACACACCAATCAATAAACACGATCGCCATCTTGGTGCGTGTGTGCGTGCGTGCGTGTCTGCGTGCGTGTGTGTGTGCGCGTCGTGCACCCTCTGCCCTAACCTCTGCCTCGCGGGTCAAGAGGTCCCCCGCCTGGCGCCCGTCGCGCCGCTAAAGACTTTCGGCCGGGTGCGCCTCCCCTGCGGCGGGACTTCTCCGCGTGGTAAGCCTCCCCGAAAGCCTCTGCTACTGCTGCTCTAGCCGAATTAATTTGTCACCCACGGCGTGTTTAGAGGGTGTGTTAAGCGAGAGTGACAGCAGAGAGAGACAGAGGGAGGGAGAGAGGGGAGGGAGAGTGAGAGGGAGAGAGTGCATCTCTTTAGGTACCAGATAATGATAAATTCAACATTCAAACGCAATCGAATGCTGGGATGAAAAATGCACAGCGTTACGTGGCCTGGCGCAGCCACGCCGCCCCCCGCCCCGCCCAGCCCCGCCACGCCCCGCCCCGCCCCGGTGTTCCTCGCGGCGGTTGCGTCACTGCCCGTGGAGAAGGGGCCTGCGCTCTTGCTGCAGCCCCAGGTAGGCGGTGGCGGCCCGAGCTGGGGCGGGGCGATGCCCGGGGGCCCCCGTCGGCCGGTGGGCTTGCCGCCAGTGCCTTGCCTAAGGCAGGAAGTGTGGCGCGAAAAAGAAAACCGCCGACCCAGCAAGAGTTCACCGCCCTCTCGGCCGGACGCCGCGTCGTGTTTTGGGGGAGGGTCACTGCAGTCACCTGCAGTGTGATTCAAGATTTGAATATGCAAGATATGATTTTGATTTACCCCATCGTGTTAATTTCCTCTATGCCTGTGAAAGAAGATGTCAGAGAATTTCGCAGAAACCTCTTCTGCATACTGAATTTTGCACCCGATGAATTGGCGTTCCCCGGTATTAACAGAGGTCTCTCTGAAGACGAGCAGCATCAAAGAATATTTCCGGTCATCGATTCGAAGCCAGCCTCGGCGGCAGCAGCACCTCGTGGGGCCGCCGTGGAGACGCGCGCTGGCGCCAGGGCGCTAACGCCACGGCGCCACGGGGGATCGGCCGAGGGAGAGAGAGAGAGGGAGGGCAAGGGAGAGAGAGTGAGAGAGAGCGCGAGAGGGGAGAGAGAGAGAGGCGTCGCGACTCATTCATTCTGCTCACGAACAAACCCCCTGCGGAGAGCGAGGCGAGGCGGGGTGGGGCGGAGCGGCGCGGGACGGGCGGGGGTGAGTTAGTGATCTAGGGGTGGCGTGGAGGGCGAGAGGGAGGAGGAGGAGGAGAGGAGAGAGGATGCACTGCGGAGGGTGGGAGCTTGTGTGGCCTCATACAGGGGTGAAGTCGCGTCCGGGGAAGGGGGTGGTGTGGTGGGGCGCTGGTGTGCGCGGTAGCCGCGGCGGTAGCCACGCGGGGGAGAAGAGGGAGAGGGGAGGGGAGGGCCCGCTAGGAGCGCGCGGGGAGGGGAGGGGAGGACAACACTGCGTGCGTATGGATTTGGATGGGGTCCGCGCGGTCGCGGGCTCTAAAGCCGGGCCATCGGCGTTGTCCGCCCTCCAGAGTGTACACCATCACGACGCGCAGCGGGAGCAGCAGCAGCAGCGGAAGCAAGAGCAGCAGCAACAACAAGAGCAAGTTTCGCGACCGGGTCAACTCGATCGATAGGGGTATGAATCGGCACGCCCCCCGCCCGCGCTTGTTTGCATGGGCGAGGGCCCGGTTTGGGGGATGAAGGGAGGAGTACGGGAGGTGCTGCTCAAGCACTCCAGCGCCATGGGTCCGGCAAGTCACAAAGTAAGACGGTCGAGCACTGGGTGCAACAACTTTACAATCGCAAAAGGAAGGCACATAATTTTGTTGCATAGTTTAGATGTTAACTTATGCTTAAAACTCGGTACTTAACACGTTACAGTACCTGCTGCTCATTTTTTATGCCAATGATTTACCATGGGAGCAAGGCCAAGTCCACATAGTGGTCATGCAGCAGATAACGTGTCGATGGAGTTTTAAGTTAGTTATACAGGTGGGGTATTTTTCCTGGCTTGGAGTCGTCGCTCGCGGCGCGTCTCTGTTCGATAGCATAGGGTGAGTGTGCTGCGCCACCCGCCCACCACAGCGCAGCGGTGACCCTAATGCCGCCCCAGCGAGTGTGACCGCCGCTCCACACGCTCACGCTCACACACACATGCTCACAAACACGCACGCTCACACACACGGGCAGAGGGCGCGCGTACACGGCGAATTAACTAGGGCCGTCACAGTGCAGGGCGCCCACCCCTTCGCCTTCTTGGCAACCCCCAAGCCCCTCTCTCCGCCACGAGCTTCGCGCCCTGGCGGCGGGGGTTGTCCCATGCGGCCCTCGGCGGCATCCATAACCCTCCCGCTCCCCGCCAACGCCC